GGATTTTGTTCCCTTGATGCAAGTATGTATACAGTTGTCGCTAGTACGTGCGGATGTGTCAATGTGCTTCCTGTAGCTCGAGGCTAGTGGCAGGGATATTCACTGTAGGTTCGTGTGAATGTGTGCTTTCGTTCTTTTTTTTTATTGTAGCTCTGAGTTCAGTTCCTGTGCGGAGATCGTTGAAATTGGCGCAGATTTCTCAAAATAGTGGCTTTTCAGGTGACAAGCGAGCGGAGGTCCTTTCGCTTACATTAATAAATGTGCAGGCAACCTGGAAGAAAAACAAAAACTCTAACTTAGTACGATGGCTAGGCCCGTGGTTGAGCGGTTGCAGTTTTATACTTTTGCCTTCCGCCTACATAAATGTACATAACCCTTAGGTGACAGGCAGGCGCCTGTACACCTATATGCAGATTTGAATTATAGCATTAAGTGGTACTTACCTCCCGCTCCAAATTTGACACTATAGCCGTCATCGATTCGCCACTTCGCTGCTTGCTATGTTTGAGTTCCGGTCGCTTAACGAAAAATTTTGCATGTGAAAGCAACAACAAAGTTAGCTAGCACGGATAGACGATAGCGAATTTGGTTGTACCTCATTGAGTTCGTTCGTTTCGCCACTCGCTAACTGTTGGCGAATCGATGACGGCTTATATTGCAGCTTAGTGATCTCCGGTGCCACAGATCCGTAAAGAACGCACAATTTGCACAAGTATACACATATGTGTATACATATATTAACTTTAAGGTTTATGTATATTTATATATTTTGTATATTTTGACACCTTTTTAAACTTTTTATAACTTTTGCCACTAAAACACTCGAAAATAAACCGCGATGACACCGTGACTTTCACATCTGACCCGTTCGCTATCATCTGGGTCATTTTATACCCTCTGGCCTGACTAACTGGCTCAATCGGTATCTGTAAGTATATAATGTACTTACATACCTAGGTACTTGTGTACATGGGAAACTAAAAGGAAAAACCGCTTTTACCCGTACACCTTTAACTTTCATTTTACCAAGCACTCCGAACTTTCTCTGAGTATCATATCATTAACGTTTGACCAACTATGTTCGCTCAAACATCCATGACCGCCTACAGGCACATTTGGTCAACATAGATGTTTGATCACACTACCTATGCACCTATGTTCGATCCACATACATACATATACACTCCGCTAACATAGATGTACTTATGTTTGGCCCACTTCTTCCACACATACATGCACATACAGAAGTATCTGGCAAACAGCTGGCGCTTCAAGTCCTTAACTGGAGGATCCTGAGGGAAGATTCGCTCTCGGATCACGGGTACATCGAGTTTAAACTTGGCGAAGTCGCTATTTGCTCTGCGCCAATGCGAAACTTGAAAAAACCGAACCGGCCGTGTTTTAGGGAGGAGATTGAAAATCAGATCACGACGCCACCTAGGATACGATCCACTCAAGCCATTGGTGAGGCGGTGTTTAATTTAACCGCCGTATCAGTTTGGATAAGGCTTGTCCGTCTCGTCCTCCTCTTGGCCGTACGCCTGTTCCCTGGTGGAACAAAGAGCCTTCATCTCCCTCGACTGGAGAGAGCCACTGTGTTGAGGTACAACTGGTTTGTTGCCAGAACTGTGGCGAATGAAGATGCCATAAGATATGCTTTTGAGTCTTTTGACAGCTTCAAATCGCCCGTTCCGGATGGTATCCTACCTATTGTTCTTAAAGAAGGTGTTGAGCTTTTATTGGCACCCTTGAAAAAGATTTTCACAGCGTCGGTTGCGCTTGCACACAACCTTGGAGGCTGGTTGATTTCGCCTTTGTACCTATGGTTGGTAGGGATGACTATACTAGCCCCAGAAGCTACAGCCCTATTAGCACGACATCCTTCATGCTAAAATGTATAAGTTGCGCATTCATAGGGAGGCCCATCACATGCCTATCAGGCGGGAAAATCTTGTGAAACGGCTTTGCAAAATCTGGTTGCCAGAATTAGTAATGCCATCAATAGGAAAGAATCATCTTGGGCATTTTTGAAGACGGAGCTTGTGCAATTCTGTACTGATAAATTGCATTCGTTCAATGCTGGCGCAGCGGGTCATAAATATTAAGGCAGATGGAATTAACAAGGGCTGCCCGCAGGGTGGAGTGCTTTCCGCTTTGCTCTGGTGCCTGGTAATTGATTATCTTCTTGTCACTCTATTGACTCTGGTATCTACGCTCCGATTTGTGGCGTGCGCCTTGATGTTGTCACACAAAGCGGAGGGACCTACAGTTTTATTGTTTTATTGTGTTTATTGGCATTCGCATTCGCAACCGCGGAGCTTCCGCATTAATCTTAATATTCGCATTCGCTATGGTCGCCGCTGTGGTGTAGTGGTAAGCAGTGCGCGCTTCCACTCATCGGAAAGGTTTTTTCTTAACAGCGATCGTCCCTCGGCAGGCAATGGCAAACCTCCGAGTGTATTTCTGCCATGAAAAACAGCTTCTCATAAAAATACTATCGCCGTTAGGAGTCGGCGTAAAACTGTAGGTCCCTCCGCTTTGTGTGACAACATCAAGGCGCACGCCACAAATCGGAGGAGAAGCTCGGCCAAACACTAACTTATGTGTAAGCGCCAATCTATTATTATTATTATTATAATCAATGCGGAGCGGGAAACAAAATAACAAATTGTAGCCAATATTTTTGCCTGTGGTCGTGGGGGGTATTTGTGTAACAAAAGTGGTCAAATGTCATATTTATCAACTTTGATAAACATGTCTTTAAACATATTAGTGCGATTCATAAGACGTCGCAAAGTGGCATTTTTGGTGAAATGGCAATGTTGCGAACAAAGTTTTATGAACGACCTAACGCAACTCCGGATTGCAAATGTAACATTTTTTAAAAATGCCGTGCGTTAGAGGAAAATAAAAGTTTTTACAATGATATTTCGAAGCAGATTTAACTGATATACTTTTTCTTGAATTAATTGAAGACAATAAAAAAACATGTGTTTCGCGACTTTGTCTTTTCAATGATTGCCGGCTGAAATAATATGGCAACGTCGCAAGAAAGTTTCCACACAAAAGTAATCAGCTGTGTTGCAAAGTGGCAAATTTTGCGACAAATGCGACATTTGCAACAACTTTGCGACTTTTCATGAATCCCTCTATTATTTCTTAAGCTATATAACAGAGCTATCAATGGGTTCCCACTTCTACCTTGACCTTTGACGTGCGTCATTGAGAACATAGTCCTTTTAATGATATTTTTTTTCTGTGCTTTAAATACCCGCATTGGTTTCTTTCTTTAAGATTTTTGTGGACCTATCGTAAAAAAAACTACTAGACACAAAAGAAGAAAGTGTGCACTGTAATTCTTAACCACATTTTCGTGACTTGCTTTTGAACCAATATATGTAGGTTTCAATAATTTCAAATGAGGCTCTTTGGGGAATTTATTTTTATCAAAAATTTTAAAAACGGTACTTTTGTTTACTTGTCGAGCAATATTTTTTTCATAGGGATATACATTGGATCCTTGGCTAAAAACTTCTGGCTATAAAGGGAATTGATGCTCAAATAATTAAAAAGCTATAGGTCTGACCTTTAATTAGATAAGAATTACGTAACTATCTGATATTCAAATGCTTATAAAAAACGGGTGCAATATTCTGATCCGATTCGGCACTTTGAAAACAGAATTTTGTTCAAAATTTTCATTCCTAGAAAATAATAATTTATTTTCCATATCCACCTATTTAGCTCGCTATAAGCACACATTTTTCAAACCATTCGCAGAGAATCGCAGAGAAAGTATTAAAAATGAATCACAGAAACTAAAATCGAAAAACGCTGACGAAGTTACAGATTACCCAAATTTTTAAATAGCCAAGGGAATGAGAATGAAGAGTTCTTTTTAAAAAGCTTTAGAGAAACCTTACACATCTGGTTTGGCTTGTAAGTACTGTTTAAATAACAATCTCGCCATTAAGCTAGTTTCTAATTATAGCATCCGCAGATGTTAGCTGTTAGATATTCGCATCCGCGGATGGAAATAAAATACTGATGCTTTGGCTTGATGCATTTCTGAACGCACCCTTGTGTCCGGCAGAATGAGTGTAGCAACTACTAATGTGCGGATGAACATTTTCTTGTGCTAAGAAAAACATATATGTATGTATGTGCATTAGGGTGGTCTAAAAATGTATGATAAAAAGTAAAGTCGGAATTGTAATGCTCTCACCCCCTAGGATTGTTCTATACTGAAAAAAAGTATACCCTTTTTTTTATTTAGAGGTATTTTTATTTGGGGAAAAACAACTTTTCGTAGAAATGGTATAGAATTCTAAAAAATCAATATTTTTCAATCGAAAAACTCTGTTTCTCTGCAGGAGATTCCCAATAATAATACCTGATTGTCTATTTAACCATTTTTCATCGCAACTATAATTTATAGGTCCGCCAAAAACCCAAAAAAACCCCGAAAAATGCAATGGGGGACCAATAAAAAATCGTTTGTATTAAAAAATAGTTATATAAACAATTGTTATTTAAAGTCTCCTGAAGAGAACCATTGATTTCCAATCGAAAAACATTGATTTTCAAGAATTCTATCTCATTTCTACGAAAAGTTGTTTTTTCCCATATAAAAATACATGGACAACTTGGAGCGCTTTGAGCGAGCTCTAAATATTTTTTGATTTCAAAAAAAAAAAATTGGGGTATACTTTTTCGATATAGGGGGTGAGAGCATTACAATTCCGACTTTACTGTTTTTGGACCACTCTAATGTACATAGAATAATAAAGAGATTAGCTAACGCTGCAGTTTTCTTGACTAAAATTTATCAAATATTACATGTAATTGATATCTGAAACAATTTCTTCTATTTATAAATATTTAAATTAATATTAACTTTGTTTAGCACAATTTTGCAATTTATTTTTAAGCTTTTTAACAAATATTTATTTCTTTTAGTCTACCATTCCACATTTACTCATATCTACATTTATTTTCAGATATTAACGACGATCGCAAGAAGCGGCCGCGAACCGCTTTCTCAGCTTCGCAGATCAAAGCTTTGGAAACTGAATTCGAGCGGGGCAAATATTTATCGGTCGCTAAACGGACAGCACTGGCAAAGCAATTACATTTGACGGAAACTCAGGTATTACATAACTTATTTAGATTCAGGCAGGTTCTGCGATTCACTCCTGAGTGAATTTCAACCCCATTCAATTTGAATTCAAAATCGCTTTGGTTGAAATTTACTCGGAAGTGAATTGCAGAACCTGCCTGATTATCTTTACTTCGACCTGGCGCTTCTACACCACATCTTCTTGCAGATCAAAATCTGGTTTCAAAACCGCCGCACTAAATGGAAACGTAAATATACTGCCGATGTTGAAACACTCGCATCTCACTATTACGCTCAATTAGGCATTGGCGGCTTGGCGCGGCCAATGGTGGTTGGCGACCGTCTTTGGCTTTTCAGTCAAAATCCTGCGGGTCCTAATCCTTTTCAGTCGATCATGTTAAATGGCGGTGTGACAACTACACCAATGGCACCGACATTGCGACCTTACAACAACAATACATCGTCGAACACATCTTCGTCAACGACACCGACCCTTATGCCGCCATTGCCTGTGATTGAGAGTGCGAGGAACGCAATCCTTGCAAGGGGTCAACCGTTAAACTTCGCTCTGCCTTACAGTTTAGCAGCCGCAGCAGTTGGAAATACGACCTGCGCTAGCAATAACATTAGCAGCCATCCACAGGTCGGCCTTTCTGCCGAGCAATACAGGCCCTCGGGCGGTTTTGAAGAGCGTTTTATGGAATATAACTCACTACCCATGACGTCAGCTCCCGTTAATATGAGCTCGTACTGCCGGAATGAAAATGCCTTGACAAATGCTGCGGTGACAGATACTTACTTGGCATTGAAGTACGCAACATTGCCGTTAGAAGGAGAAAATTCAACCTCGAACGGCCTGGCAGAGCTTGAGAGAGTTTTTGGCGATGCTAACGCTAACTTCCTGCAAAAACGAATAAACAACGCCACTAATATTGAAAGAGAGAAAAATGGCTCGTCGCTCGGGACAAGAGATCACTTGATGCCATCAAGATCCGACTCAGATTGTAGCGACATAGACTGCGAACAAATCGATGAAGCTGATGAGGTTTAGATTATGAGAATAATTCATTAAAAGTTTCAAAGAGCTTATAAAGTATATTTATTCATAGTGATTGGTACTTAAAAATACCTTATTCAGTAATATTCATTGCTATACAAGAACTTGTTGTGGCACAATAAAATAATTTATACATTTTTTTTTGCAATATTGCAACAATTTTTTATACATAAGTATGTATGCATATTTATCCGTTTTGTATCCTTCGCACAAACACATCGGCACCACGATCCCCGTGCGCTTCCGTGATTACGAACGTAGCTACATATTTGTACTGCTGTATTTACATAGCTTTTTCTGGTCTCGCAGATTACCATTGCAAACTTTATTTGAGGAAGAACTTCTTCGGAAAACATATACAAATCACAAAAGTCTGTCACTTGGTAAATAGGAGAAGATACAAATGCACTTGTATTCAACAAAAATTATTGTTTTCCTTTAATATTGGCAAACTTATTATCTATCTATTACTTAAAGGAAAATCACACAAAAATAGTATAATTATAAATAGGTTAACATTGCATGTTTTAGAGAGCATATTATACATAATATATTAGTGGATTCATTGAATGAGCAAAAATTATTCCAGCAGGAATTTGTAGATATTTCTTTCAGTTCGCAGGAGTGATAGTGTAAAAATAGTATTTTTTATATTACATGTAAATTGTGATACTAATCAACTAGTACCATAAAAAAAAAATAAAACTAAAAAATTTAAATTCACTCGCACGAAACTAACTTAATTTAGTTTTTGGTTGTGGCTAATAGTTATTAATAATCAACATGTCCTCGTATTCGGCTTGGGATTTATACATATTTTACAGTAGTACGATACACAGATGCAAATGTATGAAAAAGCACTTTTGACAAACGACACATGAATTTAATATGGGGTGCTTTTAACGCTATGTTTGGTATTATACATTAAAAATATTAGCTCTCAAAATTTGCTTTCTAGTTTAAATTCAAAACGGTGATGATATTCTGTTAGCTCCATGAGAGATCGTATCCTTTCCAGTTAGCATTTGGAGCCAAGTAAACTCGACGCTTTTGGAAAAAGAATGAAACAATGCCATGGTAGGCAGTACGCGGTACTCCACTCTGCCAAATTAAAAAGCATACATTAAGAGGGAGCAAATAAGGCTGCTTACGGAAAATATTTTAGCAAAAGACCCAACGGTATTCACCTTGAAGTCACCCATGAGTCCTAAAATTGATGTTATATGTTTATATTGCTCTCTAGTGGTGTATTGTATTCGAACGGGTCCGTCTGTTTTAATGAGATTCCTACGAAGTTCTTCGTACGTTACAATAGGGTAAGAATAAACATCATTCAAAAATGTGCGATCGTAGTTTTCCTAAACATAATATTTTATGGAGTGATTTTTTTTTTAAGATTTTAAGCTACATCTTACCCTTAATAAATAGCTGAGGTTCATTTTAGAAAAATTTACAAAATGTTCACTAAGTTTTATATACTTCAGATATTTGTCGAAGAACAAGCCGCTGCAAAAAATTCATTGTTTGTAAATCCACTCTGATGAGGAAATGTCAATGAAATTTCTACAAAACTCAGTACTCACTTTGAAACGCCAATTTTTCCAAAGGTTCTCGTCCGGGATATTTCAGGTCTGATGCAGGCTCGTTCTTTTCGCTGTTCTGGATGCCGTATCCAATCGTCCCAAAATCTGGTGGAGTGAATAGTTGATATCGCTTATCCAAATTTACGGACAAAAATGTTGAATGAAACTTACGACTTTGGCCATTTCACTGACAACTCTTGCCATAAATTTCTAGTAAGCATCCATCCAAGTCCCGGAAAAAAATCAGTTCGATACAAGACCTCAGGCTTTGAGTTATCAACAAACTTATCCTTGCCATTGTCATTCCAAGCAGATACACACCTAATCAAATTCATATGCATAATTTATGTTTTATGTTCGAGAAATATTCAATTATTGCGAATTTTCTATCTACCAAAGTGAAGGATCCTGTTTCAGTAAAGTATGTGTTCCTAAAAAGTACTCATAGAAATCGGGAGCAACGTTTAAATCGTCTTCAACAATGACGACATATTCGTAGCCTTTTTGGAATGTGGTATTTAATGCCCAACCATAATGGCGCGCTATTTTGTAATATCCCTTAAATTTCTTCTCTCGTGGTGGCGTTAATATGTCCGACAGGTCTGGTTGTTCTATCAATGTGACTTGCGATTCATAACTCAGTATAGCTTTCTTTGTTTGTTGATCACCACAGTCCTACGAATACATTTAAAATACATTAAATCGACATAGTAGGGATGTTGCGAATGCGCAATTTTAGTCATCCGGTGATGGGAATGCGGATACGAATATCTAAAAGCTAGCATCAGCGGATGCGTACATACGTGGATACGGTTGTCAAGTATTTTTAAGAAATAATTTAGGTAAGTAAATTAGGTAATTTTTAATAATTTGTATTTTATTTAGTACTTGAATTTAAAAATTGGAGCATTACATTTTATAAAAAGTAATGGTGCAGCCTTGTCAGGGTTCAGTTTGTTTTTAATGGGTCGTAAATCAAACCTGCACTACTAAATAACTGCTCGCTCGAAGCACTTGCTGGTAGAGGCGACAAAATAAATATGATCATGCGAAACTTGAAAATATTTTATATTAAAATTAATGCGGAAGCTCCGCGGTTTCGAATGCGAATACTCGCGACAACCCTGATACATAGTATGCATATAAACAATTATTTTATTTGTTATAGACTGCTCACCTGTGATACTATGATTGGAAATTGATCAGCATTTGGGCGATATTGAACCAAGTTGTCTAGACACTTTCGAATAGATACACGATTGCATGCAATTACTAATATTGGTATGACGGGATCTCCATTTGGCATATGAGTCATGATTGGCTTGACGATTGGTGGATCTTTACCGCTGTCTCCTATCTCATCCTCCGGTGGATTATCTTCATGGCTATTTACTTGACCAGGTTCTTGTAAGCCCAGCAGGTGATCTGGTGAAAGGGCGACTATGCCTATAGGGCGATCTTTTGTTTGCTTAGATGGAAGTGACTCCTCTACGTCATTTGCTATAATTTTTTCTTTTATAATGCCAATGAGTTGTCCAACAAGTCTGCTGTTTTCTTTGTTCTCAGCATGTGATTCACGTTCCAATTTATTTATTTTTTTTAGAAGCAAACGATCCCTTGACGGGTACATGGTACTATTCCGTATTAAAAAATAATAGGTTATAAAAGTCCAGGTTGTAAGAAACCCAGCAATGATAAGAATCTTGCGTGAACGCATTTTTATGCGAAACAGGTGGGAGTTTCGATCTCAATCGGTAGGAAATGCATCAAATTCAATTTTTGGCGACTTCGAAGTTTTTCTAGTCAGCAATGTATCTAGTTCATGATTTCGTGTCCGGTGATGTGAAAACGGCTTTTACTAAAGTAAAATAGAATTGTAGATCTATAATTTCTAAAAAATATTTATGGTGTTTTAATTTAACAGTACATATATGTCGATGGTCCTCTGCAATAACGACACAGTTCAAAAAATAAAATTCCTTTCTACTGTTAAGTGGCTCATGTCTGTATTTCTTGTCCAACCTAAAGTAAGTAGTAAGGATTCGACATGAATTAGATAAGAATTTGAAGAATGGACCACTTAACCAGAGACCCAAAATAATTATTATCCTAATATTTGGGATTAAAAAGGTCGCCCTGTTTTAAGAGAAATTTTTTTCGTCTTTGTACAATAATTATTTATGAAAAATATCTTTTTTCCTCTCTCGGGACGATTACTTTCAGATGGAAATTATTTACGTCTTCTCATAATAATTATATGGGACTTTTATTGTTCTCATCTCGCGGGACGTTTATTTCAACACGGAAATGATTTACGTCTTCCCATAATTTGTATTTCTTTCGTCTCTCGGGACGTTTATATTAATACGAAAATGACTTTACTTTTTCGGTTTACGTGGTCTTCCCTCGGTTTCCCTTAACACCAAAACTTAACACAAAAGTGCCTTTATACTTTATTAATAATTTTTTTAACAAATATGGTTGTAGGTTTTATAAATAAAACTATGTTTTATTATTAATTTACATCCAAGTACTGTTTAATATGTAATCAGCATTCTAATGTATTCAACAAAGTCCCAAAAATTTCATATTAAATCACATTAATTTCTCGATACTAGGTAATGCAAAATTGAATGTCCCACTTTTCTTAGGACATCGCCCTGGGGAAAAAATGCATTTTCGAATGTGAAAGGGGTTGTTTTACTGATTATTTTTTCGATTACTATACATTGCATACTTTTAACGTGCGATCTGTCAAACCAACGCCAACGCCAACGCCAACGCCAAAGCCAACGCGAAGGTTCTATGTGGAGCCATGAACCAACGACTACAGATCACCTAATCAGCCATCTTTGTATTTGTAATCGATTTTCAGAAAAAAGTTTTCGTAGCGCTTTTGACGTTTTTCGGTTTTGTTTACACCGTCTTCTACCTCTTCGTAGTGATTTTTTAGCGATTGAATGTGTTTTCTGCAGCGATTTTAATTATAAATTTTGGTTTAATATATATTTATCTTATAAAATGAAGTTCTGTGTGATTGGAACAAGTTTGTGCATATGTTTGGTTTGCCAAAAGGCGTAAATTTGCGTGAAAAGTGGGTGCACGTTTGTGGCCAGAACGTTGGCATTGAAAAATCGACCCGTGGTAATGATATGCGATTGTAAAACACTTTCAATCGTTATAACCATATTTTATGACCTTTTTTTTACAATGCAGCCATACGTATGTACAGTATCGGTCATAGGTGTTGCGGATTTCTTCCATATACAAATATATTGAATTTATTCATTATATGGAAGCCAATGCGACAAAAAAAATTCTAAAAAATTAACGGTAATTCGTAGCCACTTGAAATTTGCACATTATCAGACTAAAATTGCAGGGGCTAAAAAACTGTGTACTCAAAAAAATTCTAACACTTTCGAGAAAAAAGTTTGAAATTTAGGTGAAATTTTGTTGCACTTTTTTGAAGTTTTCTAGAAATTGTTGAACTTGGGTTTATATGGGGTTTGTTAGAGAAAGAACTGTATTTTAATTGAAAATTCTTAAAAATAAATAAATACACATAACTGGCACACAATATCACTTTGAAATGGCGTGCTATAGATATGACCGATACTGTATGTATCAGAGTGCAGCTTTGAGTATGATCGAACCTTTTTGATCACCCTCATTAAAAATCGAGCACAAGCGAACGCCACACTCGGCCGTCATGTGTTCGATCGGGATGCACACCCGACAGCTGCTTTGAGTACGAACGAGCCTGTTCGATCACCCTCGCTAAAAATTCAGCACAAGCGAACACCACACTCGGACACCCGCAGCTAACCCGAAAATTTGTGTAACAATGAAACGGACACCCGAACATTGCGATAAAACTCTGGGCAACAACCAAATTAACGCTGAAGGTAACTGGCGCCAATATATTCCAACAAAGCATACGAAAATGTTGTTGCTTTGTGCTTGTGCATACGCAATGAAAAATATTAGAAGCGAAGCAAGAATGATAGAATACATAATTTTATTGTAAGGATGCCGATTCAAATTAATAAAAATCAATGTTTCTTGCACAACGGTCCATTTCTTCTGGCATTATTGAAGGTGCTGCACATATTTCGTTGTCGCTTATGATTGTCACTGTGCCATGGTTTTGTTCAAATTTTTGTAAAATTGCTTAGCACACTTACGATTGCTATAAATTTTGCTTCCATTTTTTTAAGATTTACTAATTTGAAGTCTTCAAACTAAAAACAAAAGCACCAAAACCGCACCAAGCACAAAACTCAAAAACTTTCGCGTTTTGAATACCCACTAAATTTGGTGCGAAAAGCATGAAATTGGCAACAGTGAATGTAAACAAAAGTATATTATGACGTCAGCGATTGGGTGGATGCTGTCAAATCGACAAAGAGGGTTAGCGGTCCGTGAATGGCGCGACCTTTATTTTCTGGATCGTGATGTGTGTATGTTCATCGGCGTAGCCAAAATGAAATTTAGGGGGGGAGGGGCTCGACCCTATTAAGCTGGCATTTCAGGGTACTATTTTATATATATATATAAGGAAATTTTGAAAGTTACCTGGCTACGCCCATGTGTATGTTTGTACGTGTGTCAAGCTACAATGCAAAAACGCGACTAGGTGCTCCATGCACTCATGTAAAGAGTGTCCCCAAGGTTCAAGGAGTATCCAAAATTAACCAATATGCATATGAAATGCAAAAAGACGTAACATCATCGTGAATGAAATGGAAAAAGTCGGGACTAATATGTTATTTATTTTTTCATAAAATGATGTGGGGAGCTGTAATTCGATGAAATCCATCATATAAAAGTGAATTTGAATTTTTTACTAGTTATGACTTTTTGCATTTCAACGATGACGATTTCAGGTGACGATATAAAAATATGGTCCAATTAACATTGCGATGTCCTAGGGCATAGAGGTTTACGACGACAGGCTTTGCGGCGGCGGCGTGGTCAACTTCAAAAATAATCGGCGGCGAGGCCGGCGCGTCAGGAAACGCCGGCGCTACTGCACATAATTTAGATTCCAAAGAGCCATGAGGCTTCTAATCTTATCAAATCATCTCGTCAGCGTTAGGCATTCGCCATGCCAATTCAGATTATAGTTCTCTTTATTTCATTATAGAATTAGTTTTAAATTTAAATATTGTTACTTCCTACTTGTATTAAAATTTTGAGAGTCTGGCGCTCATGGATGAGCGAACATAAGAAGGTCTGAGGTATATATGTACATACATACATTGTTCTCTATAGATCCGTATGTACCATATAAATTTAAAGAAATAAAAAAAAAAGTTAAGTTATTGGAGTATTTTATGTCGCTATTAATAAATGTTTGTAATAATCTTATCTACTGTTATGTTAAATTACAGTTTTACCCATCAACTCCCAGCAGAACAGGCCTTTCTGACCCACTGTTTAAAAAATGGCTTATATGTAGATGGTTAAGATTTTTACTAAAATATTAAGCGCAAAATTTTCCTAAGGATAACCGAAAGTAATGAAAAATACTACTAATTTCCACCAAGGGGAACTTTAACTCTGTGTAGAAAACATTGCGATGCGATGGAGCAAAACCATACAGGGGTTTGACCACCACTTGTGAATGCTAACATAATTTTCACACAGCCACCTAGTACTATACTTTTTCAAGTTCAAAATGAGAAAATATGAGATTGTAATGGGAAAATGTAAAATTATATTGAGAAACTGTAATTTTTAATGGGAATGCATAAAGTGAAATTGAGAAATGTAAGTTTAAAATGATGAGATGTGAATGAAAATGGGAAAGTGTGAAATTAAATTGAGAATATATAACTTGATATTGAGAAATGTAAATTCATATTGAGAATGTGTAAATTCAAAATAAGAAGTAAATTCAAAATGAGAAAACCTACATTCAAAATGAGAAAAAGGAAATTCGAGATGAGAATATAAAATATCAAACAGAAGAGATTAGGTTTTTCTTTCAGTAACAACCACCGGTGTTTTGCCCATGGAGCGTAGAAGGGGTTCGCTCACGACCGAAGCTTGTGGGGGAGGGGAGAGAGGAGCTGGGTAGGAAGTCTCATTAAGCGTTGGCAAAACATGGGGAATAATGTGCGGGATTTGGTAATGGTCTGCGACAATGCCCAATGTCACTCTTCGATAGAAAGGAAAGTGGCAAACAATTCGGGAGGAGAAGCCACAGTTTTGCGTCTAGGTCCATATTCCAATAGAGAATATTTGGGCTAAAGTTAAAATGGAAGTAAAAGCGAACCTGCATGTGCCAAATGTTCATCCCTCCGGACTTTGCGAACAGAGATTACAGTATTTGGAAACAGTTATAGATAGCGCGAAAATAACAATAAATGGAGATTTTGCAAGGGCTGTACAGCACTCAACTAATTTTCATACAGACGCAGTTGTATTAAATAATATGCATGTTGGGATGTAATGTTCCTTGGTCACATCTTTGCTTACTTACATTGATAAATGTTGTTTTTAATAAAATTTGATTTTCAGTACCCTACAAAGTCTCATTTCAAATTTATATTATCTCATTTTGAATCTATTTTTTTCTCATTTTGAATTTACTCTTTCTAATTTTGAATTTTCACATTCTCAATATGATTTTACATTTCTCAATATCAAGGTATAAATTCTCAATTAAATTTTACGCTTCCTCATTTGGATTTATATTTTCTCATTTTGAACTTACACTGCTCAATTTCCATTAACGCAATCTAATTTCAATTTACTTTTCCTCAATATAACCGCACTCAGGACAGC